ATTAGGAGGAGCCTGTATGAGACTTGGTGCTGGGATTGTGTAGGGTGGGGGTGGGGGAGGTCCCCTGTAATAGTGCCATCAAATTGTGTTAGAGTGAGTATAGAATTGACTACATACCATAATTTTTCTGTCCCCCTGGAAACTCAACCAGTTGGATTTACAGTTTACATGGTGGATTGCACATTGTGCTCCTTGTCTGCACATCTGCAGACAATCCTAATCCCTGTCTACCTGTCTCCAGATACAAATATTGACAAGCTGTCCCACACAGTGCACAGCACCAATTGCATCATCACCTAAAGCTATCCTCCCCAGAACTGTCCTGATCCGTGCTAGCATTAGCAGTTATCTCCACGGAGCTGTCATGTGTTCCAGAGATAACGGTGATGCAATAAAGTTGAATCTGAATCCATGAAAGAATCCATGCCAGACAAAGTTCAGGCTACGATTTAGACAAAATAGTTTCTTTCCCATCATTCTCACATGTATAGGAAGGTCGCGCAATATGGAATTCAAAGCTTGCTCTTTATAATGTGACGATGTGGGAGCATCTCTTAAATGTAACTGAAGCAGCTAAAACTAAAACATTAGTAAAACATGGATTATTAATTGTATTTGAAAGATGTCATGGACTGTCTTCTGGGTCTACTATCACATTGGACCAATAAAGCCAGAACAATCCAGCCCAAATAATCCTTCACTGACCCTCTTAGCTCCTGTGTGAGCCAGATTTTTAAATCAATCCTCAGGTCTGATGATTTATAAAATCCGTGCATGGTTTGAATGGAAGCACAGGAAACAATATAGTATATCATTTCACATCAGAAAATATTTGCAGCTGGCTGTAAATGAGATATAAATAAAAAAAACCCACATTGTCCAATCTAAACCTTGTAGGACAAATGCAAAGAGTGTGTCAGACTCACAGGCACTAGGGGGAGAAATCCAGTTCATTTTCACATACACATTTTATTTTGCATCAAAGTATTGAAAAACGGCCCTACTGTATGTGGCTGTGTATTCCTGAGGGCAAACCAATCTGGCAGGTAAAGATTTGTCAAAGGGAGAGCCATTCCCAGAACAATGATCAGAACAGAACCATCCAAACAAGTGTAAAGACATTTCATCGTGAATCTCATTGGCAGGAAAAATTGGCTAATTGGCTACATTTTAAAACTTTTCCTCTTTAAATTTGGCAGTCTTTCATGTCTATGTAAGATGATAGTGTTACTCCAGTGTGGTACATAACAACAAATCTAGTATAATTTCTTTGATGTTTAACATCAGATATAGTCGTCATTATATCTTGCATCGTATTTGTCTTCAGGTGAGTTCAGGACATTTTAATGCATCTGTCTCTGCTCCTCTAAGATAACACGTGTCCTGTGGCTTCCAACAACTCACTTTCATCTTGATATCTCCTTTTACTATCATATTGTCCTTTAATATTGCACTATCACCATGTCACTGTGTGTAATTGGAAAAGAAACAAATATATATATTATTAACATACTCTTTTGGGGAATGGCAGAGAAGTGACACATACCTATTTTCCTATGTCTTTGCTTTGGATATCACAACTGATGTGTTGCTTTGTTACCATAAAATCTTCTGGTAATCATTTGCTAAGAATCATTGTTAGTATAACGCATAATACGACTCCCAGAAACAAGTATGAAACACAGTTAGTTATTTTGGCATATTATTTCCAAGTATATACCTGTGTTTTTTCCTTGTACAGTTGAGTGCAAAAGTTTGCATCCCCCTTAGACCCTGGGTGAAAGTCCAAATTCTTTTCAAATACCAAGCTCAAAAGTTTACATCCCCTTTGATAAATCCTCTAGGTAATTCATTTTAATATCTAAAATCATGTGTCTGGTCTTTAAAAAACATTGTCACCACGTAATTCTTGATGAGTGGCAACAAGTGTGTTCAATTAGGCTTGTGTTTTATATTTGCAAGTGTGTGGATGTCCAAGAGCAGTTTCATGCAGTTTGCTGACAGCAACAACAACAATAGGAAACAGCTGCAGTCTGAAGACCTCAAAATGAAACTGGTATACTTTCATATTTGAAAGCGTTTTGAGATACCAGTACCAACTGTGAACACCATAATCCAGAAATGGAAGAAACGTGGACACACGACCAAGGAGTGCAAGACCAAGAACAATACGTGATATCAGTTGTGGAACAGGATTATGTGGTCTGAGGAGACCAGAGTCGAACGATTTGGTCATAACTTGAATGGGTACGTGTGGCGAAAAAAACAAAACAACTGCATGGGTAACTGGGTGTATGGCTGCATGAAGCACTGGAGCTCTGCATAAAGTGGAAGGAAGAATGAATGCAGGCCAATATAAACAGATTTTAAAGCGAAGCCTCCCCCCATCAGTCAAAAAGCTAAAAATGAAGAGATGATCCGAAGCACAGAGCGAAGTCGACCCAGGAATGGTTTAAGAAGATTAAGGTGAGAGTTTTGCCATGGCCTTCCCAGTGTCCAGACTTGAATATAATAGAACACCTGTGGATTTGAAGAAGGCCGTACATGGCAGCAACCAAGCAATCTGCTAGACTTGGAACAAATATGCCATGATGGCTGGAATTAAACACCTGAGAGGACACAGGAGCTGCTCAGACAGGATCCAAAGAGGTTGGAGGAGGTTGTAAAAGCAGAGGGAGGACATACAAAGTGTTGGAGAACATTTCATAAAGGGGGATGCAAGCTTTTGGACTGATATAATTTTCATTATTTCACTTTCACATTCTTCTTTACACTCTTTGAACATTTTTGTTATTTTTGAGGATGAAGGAATATTTGTGCCGACTGAACATGCGTTACATATGGTGTTGATGAAAACAAATTTCTTTGTTTAACTCTTTTTGTCTTTTCAAAGTAAGGCGATGCAAAGGTTTGCCCTCAACTGTACCTCTCCATATATGAGTATTTCTCAAAACAATTACAGCACAGCCAAGTATATATCTTCTGTTTAGGTTCTGTTTAACATAGACATCCCTCTTTGCCATTATGATTCTTCTCCTCAGCTCAGCTGACAATGGGTTTGTGCTTATTTTCACCAAAACGCTCTGTGCAAAGTACAACAATACAGTAGCTTCATCAAAATAAGCTAACAGTTTGAGCATTAATGAAAAATGATTCACAGTAATAAAACACAAAGAGACGACATTAGGTTTGGCTTGCATAGCAAAGCAAAATAAAGAGAAAAACATTAAAAAATATATTTACAAATTATGCAAGTCCTTTTTCATTTTAGTCATTCTGTGATTTTCTTCTTCATCACCACTGTGTGAACTGTTGTACACCATGTGACAGAAAATAGAAGCGGACATTTAACATACTGTTTACTCTTTTAGAGAAGAGGGGATGAAAAAAAAAACAATGTGAGACTGGTGTCTGTGTCTGTACATGACATTTACAGCTCTGCATTTTATTTTGTACTCTGTGTCTTTGTCTTCATTCTGTCTCCTCTCCATCTTCCCAACATCATTCTGTGTCACTCGCAGAGAGAAAATCTCATAGCGCTTATAAACAAGGTGTCCTGGGACAGGCAGCAACTGCAGGGAACGATGCTTCACAAAGACTCTGAAAGACAGGCACACAGCAAGAGCAACAATGTAAAGTCTGGATGACATTGAATACATCACTCTCTGCATCTTCATTTTACTCTGCCAGGATGTGTCTTAGCCTGGACTCAAGCTAGACATTGATGAGATACAAGAAGATAATATGGATAAAAACTTGATCAAATCCATGCATCAAAACTGGGATAGTAGTGTAGCTGCTTTGTATTTCCTGTTTTTTAGTTGTGATTGTCTTTCTGCCGTTAATTAAAGGAAAATTCTGGTGTGTCTCAGGGTAGTTAGGGAGCTCCAAGCACTTAGCTATGGTGACCGTTCCAGGCGAAGGTGTGTTTACTATTGGTCAGACTCAGGAACCAACTTTTGAAACGATTCATCTTGTCATATCATCATATTGTATCATATTGTATCATATGGTAAAGTGGCATGAAGCTCATGCACAGGCCTGGCTGATAATATGACAGTGATATGTACCAACGATAGACACTTCATCCAAACCAATAAGAAGACAGCTCAATAGAAAGTCCGATAGCATCATAATTGCATGAACAAATTCCCGAGCTCACTCCCTCCCTGGCTCATAAACAGCCAATCATGTCGCTAATAATGATAATGGATCGTGCTACAAGTGACAAACAGCCAATCGTTTAGCAGGTGAGTTGTTCAGTTGCAGAGACAACAGACGACACTTTATCACCATGTCGTCAGTCACGACCAACATCTGCTACATCTCAAAAAAAACGACCCACAGAGAGTCCACGATGGAGAGACCCTATGCTAACCTGACGCATGCAGTGGTTTTCTACTTTTCTACTGCTCTTATTAAAAATAGGCAATTTAAAACGCTTAATAATAACTGATATCAAATAATATGAGAATTTATATTGTGATAAATTTTTGGCCAGATCATCCAGTCAACGTTTCCCCCCAAATCTAAAATGAAGACTGAAATTTATCTGAAACAGCAGCACAGTTCTCAAATTCTAACTTCCCTTTTAAAAGGAATAATGGAGCTTTCTTTTTTGATTGTCCTTTTCATTTTCATGCCCTGTCATTACAGTGTTTTTATGTTCAGATATGCACAAATAACTGTATTTTGGTCTCAACTCACTAAAAGAAATGAAACTGATTTGTCTGATCTTCTTTTTAAGTGACAGCCCCAAATGACACACAAGTGAAGTTCCACTCTGTATCCTGGTTTTGAATTGAATAAAAATTAGATCTTTATATGGTCTATAATTATAACTTCTGTGTTATATTTATATATATATAGAATATCCAGTTTATATCAGAATATAACTATAGAAAGGGTTAATAAAGTAAATCTGCACATTATTGCTCTCTGCAGATGCTTGCTTGCATCAGGTTGTATCCACTCTGACTAATGTGCACACGGATTCCTCCTCATGAGAATAGACACTCACAGTGTTCCCTCTTCTCTGTGCTGTTTGTGGGAGGATGCCCGTTGTGGGAGGGATCTGTGCCAGGTCTCTTGTGGGAACCCCTACTCAGGGTGGCCCTGTTGGATGTTGTTGTGCCGCTCCAGGAAGCCATATGCTGCCGCTCCAGCGTCGACACGGTCACCATGCACTCCTCAGAGGGGTCTGAGCCTGCAGCTGCCCATGAGCTGTGCATGCGGGAGCCCACGCTGTGCAGGGACTTCATGGCCGGTGTGTGGGCTGTTGAGTGGATGGTAGATAAGGGTATTTGGCAAAGGACACAAATGAGGCATCATGATATAGGCCCTTCTGGTTGGATTTACTCTAATTGAAGATTCTCTGACAAAGAATGGCTGAGAGTGTGAAAGACTTAACTTACTGTCTGTGTTGGTGTCTCTTCCCCTGGGCAGAGTCCCAACCTTATCCATCTGAGGCTTGAGGCCAGTATGTGGTGCCCTCCTGTGGCCAAGGCTATGTGTGCCCTGTGCACCATGGTCTGCCATGCCCGAGCTGTCGGAGCGACACTGCTGGGAGGTTTTACCTACGATGCAACAGCGACAGAGAGTTAATGAAGATAAAGATTGCCTGGGCAAGCTTTTGGCTCACAGACAGTGGATGGAGCCAGACACTGAAGTGTGATGTGGATGTACAAAGCAATCAACCAGATGTGTCAGATGTACAAATCAACAAAGATATGTTGTGTCAAACCTGTCATTAACATACTAAAGAAATAAAGACTACTGAATGCTTTAATCAGTCAGCTGTAAGAACCACTTTCTTGTAAGCAACTAGATCTTTAAAGTTCAAAACCTAGAAAAGAAGATAAATGTTTTATTTGAATCACACACCATCAACAGATGTATAAACAAACATGCCATTTAAATCAATAAGCCACAACTGCAACATGGCACCCCCTGTGGAAATGCTGCCACCACACTGGCTTTGTTCATGCTTTGATTCAGTGGACTGAAGCTATTTCCTCAATCTCCCTGAATGCATTTCTGATGCAGTGACTTACAACGTGTGACAGCTAAACACGAGGCGGTAAAATGTTTGCATTGCTAATGTTGGTAAATATTTTTAGTCACACTGACCTGCAGTGGGTTATTAAAAGTGTTGAAAACACATGCACAATGCACAAGTCAATCCCTTAACCTATCAAACAATGGCGTCTAAAAATGGTACAGTTGTGTCCCTGTGGGAGAAACTTTGAAGTTATTCCTCTAAAGAAACGTTTTCAGACAGACCCTATTTATAAATGCATCAAAATTTAAATGTTAGACATGTGACTTTTAAGTACAGCCCTGCTAAAGTTGTTAAAAGATTATATGTTGTGGTTTTGATGTAACTTTGAAGAGAGTGTCTGAATATCCCTTTGAAAGAGAGTGAAAAAGGGCATCCTTGATTTACATTAGGATATCTGAATAATTTGAATTTGTAAGCCCATAAAACTGTTTTACTTGACGCCAACTATTATTTCTGTTTCAACTTTGAGTGTCAATCACTGTCCCTGTCGGCTCCATACACGTGTTCCTGCTCTGCCATGTAAAATGCTGAAGTACAAGCACTAGATTAGTGTGTGTGTGCGTGCTTGTATGTGTGTAATTGAATTGGCTATTGCATGCTTTGGTCTTTGCGCTATGCAGCGTGTCCATAGGTGATAGTTCAGCCAGCCAACAGACTGCACTGACTGTTTTCTGCCTCAGTGGCCCAAACCCTACTGGCAGACCAAATGTTGATATCGGGCAATTCTGCAAAACCCTAGATTATGTTAAAATATGACGTTATTGAACTTTCATTGTCAATGTTGTGAAAGACTGTGGTTAAACATTGTTTGGAAAACCAGACCCGTGTGCCTCTACTACCTTGACGTTTATAAAACAGATAGCCATGATCTTAAATGTACTGTCACTTTAATATGAATTAATCAAATGCCATTGATTAAAAACTGGATAACATTTGTACGTTTTCTCTGCTGCTGAGCGTGGTTTCTTGCAGGGAGCAAGAGGTGGTGAATGTTGTTTGACAAGAGCTTCAGCCATCGTTGTCTGTGTAATACCATAATTGGGCCAGATGCTTTTATTTCTGGCCCAGTATACGCCCGGTTCCATGTCCTGAATCTGACCCATATACAGCATGATTGTGAGATGCTACTTCCACATCTGGACCAATTCTGGTGCACACAGAAAATCTTGCGGCTGTAAGACAATACCAGAGGGTAACAGCTGGAATATGCTCAGATGTGGAAGTATATGGGCCAGACTAGGCAGATGTTGAGGTAGAAGTTTTATTTTGCTATCTGGGTGGTGAGTAAAAGAATGAAGTTTGATGCTGAACTCACAACTTTTCTTCTGGTGAGGAAACAGCTGTTAATGCTAATGTTAGCTATGTAGCGATAGCAAAACTTACAAATAGCTCCTTTAAATATTTACTCATTCTTCTGTCATCTATAACATTTTCATATTTTTATACCGTGCTAATACATGTGTTGTATTGTTGAAATTGTTGTTGGCATATATTCATACACCATATATTTATGCATGCCCATGTGTGATTAACATTATTATTCATCCGTCTGCAGCTGCACTGGCCAAAGTCTTCATGTGCAGAGGAAATGAGGAGATGATGAGACCAGTTAGTTGTGAGTCTGCCTTCTTACTATCAATGACCTGCTGCTCTTCAGCAGAGAATTCAGTAAAATTAGTTTTATGTGTCAAACGTACCTGAGCTTTCAAGGTTATCCACGCTGTGACCAGGAGTGTATTCAAAGCCACACAAATTCTTTGACACCACAGCGTATCTTTCATCCTCCTCCTCATCCTCGTCGTCTTCAGAAAGGAGAGTGGCTCCCAGATCAGAGCCCAGTGTGCTGGACATGAAGTCCATTGGAGGGATGGGGGTCTTGGTTACATTTGGACTGCTCTTCATGTGCCTAATTAATTGTTGGGAAATACTGTATATTAATGACCAAAACATATTTAAAAAAAAGAAATGGAGGTAAGATAATGAGCAAAAATACAGCAAAACAAGTTCCAGGACATAATCACGGCGTATTCAGAAAGGCAGAGATGCAATGTGCAGATATTATGAATGCCTGCAGTGGTTTCACTGATTACTTTCTCAGCACTGGTGTGTGTTATGCTAACACAATGGAGTTGTAATTGGACTGGATAAGGGATATCTGGATGGGCAGGGCTGTCACCAACATGCCTGTTATCTCCTCCACAGCTGTCCCCCACGATGGCTCACATCCCACCATAGAGGAGATGCATGCATAATTACCAACTCTATTTACTGATGTCAGAACAGCATGTTAGACTAAACCCAGTCATTACCCTCCAACACATGTCGCCACTGACTTGTCAAGTTTTCCAATGCTCCATCAAAGGTGTAATCAATGTAGAGCTTGTTTTTATCGGTCGCAAGAAACAGGTTCCAACTGACACAAGTAAATACCAGCATTACAAGACGCACGCACGTCGGCCATTGATATGCAAAACCCAAACTATCAACTGAATAGAATGAATAAAATTATAGGTATCTCTCCTTTTGTGTGAAGCAAACGTATTTGAACAAAATTGCGATGCACACACACAATTTAAAGCTTTCAAATCACACACACACAGGTTTGTTTTTTTTTTTTACCAGAAAATACATAAAATTATAGAATGAAGATGTTCTCGAGATGCAGTCAACTAAAGCTTTAAAAGATCCTTACCATGCCTGCTTGGCCACCTCATATTGGTAAGCTCTGGTCAGCTCATCCAAGTGGGCCTGCAAAATGGACTGCATTTCCTCGTGGTGGGCAGAGCTGAGAGAGGAGGATGAGGGCTGGCTGAAGGGAGCTGCTGCCGGAGAGGATGATCTTCCTCTCAGGGGAGGAGTGGGACCTCTCTCGTCCTCTACCTCATTGTCCAAATTCTGGTGGTGGTAGGTCTGGACAGACATGGGTGGTGCCCAGCTGTTGCTGTCATATCTGGCATGAGGACAAAATCCCAGACACAGGAAATATGTATAAGGATTTGATTCCAGAAAAAATACGATGACCACTAACAGTTGTCACAAATCAAACAAAGTACTTTCTTCCATTTGGAGGTAAGTGTGTAAAACAGCTTAATACAAAGCTGTTTTGTTAGGGAAATACACAGCTAGAGGTCTATTTAAAAACTGTGTGATCTGTGTGAAGCTCTTGTCCGAACTCTCTGATGAAAACACACACACACTCTGGCCACAGGTGCAGCATATTGTGACCTCTGGTTTTGCATGTGTTTCCTCTGTTTGTGTGTCGCGGGGCAGAGATTGATGAGATATGAATGTATCTTACCCTCCTCCGTGGTTTTCCTGGGGGTAACGGTCAAGGTCAACCTCTGTACCAGGGAGTGGGTGCATGGGTGGTGGAGGCAGGGGTATGTTAGCCCAACATGTCCCATTTGATTTAGAGGTCTTCGTTCCACCCTTCACCTTCTTTTTCTTCCCAACCTTTGCACCTGAGGGGAGGTGGAGAGGAGAGGAGGTTTAGCCTTCTCTACACAACACTAAGAAATCACTGCGCACTCTACCCACAAATATTATTCTACACTGAGTTCTCACACGCTAACACACACACACATGCGCACACACACACACACACACACACACACACTGCACTGACTTGAAAGCTATCTTATATCTTCCTCTGCTATCTGAACTTTTTCAAACCTGTCTCCCACCCAAAGTTCATTATTTCTTATTTTTTGTGTGCTGACAGCGCATTACGACATTTTCTAAATGTTCCACTTTAAGTTGCTTCCACACAGATTCCCCACTTGCTCTACGTTATCTCTGGAAAGCCTGACATTTAGATGAGCACACAGCCTATTGTGCGAAACCACAAAAGTACAGACAGAAATGCCTCCGTGACTTTACTAAGTGTATATATGTTGCATAAATAACTGAGGGATTTTCCGCCACCACTAATCAAGTTAACCCAAAGAAAAGCGTCATGATTGTGTGACATTTCTGGGCTAGATAAGCTCCCAGGGTAGAATTGTGATGAAGACAGAAGAGTAATTAAGAACATTATCCTAAGGGTCCATTTTCAGTCATTATGTAAATATAATATGTAAATAAAATCCTTTCCATTTTGCTCTTTCCCTGGTTTAGTTTGCCAACTGCCTCATAGTCATTTCACTGAAAAAAAAAAAACCTATTACCTGTCGTTTTACTGCAAAAATGTTGCTTTTACTGGGCATTCAAACACGACTGCAGTCCTCAGAGACCCAACATACATACACAAGAGTGCAAACACTGCACAAAAAAAACAAAACAACAATGGGCTCTGTCTTGCACATTTCTCATTACATATTCTCTTACCACTGCCAGGGCGTCTGTCAGTTAGCGAGTAGCCCAGGTTTGCTATTTCCTGCTGGGCTTGGAGAGAAGCCTTCCAGCGAGGATCTGGCCTGTCCACAGCCAGCTCGTGGAAACTGTTGGACTGGAGTATCTGAGTGGTGGCGTAGGGGGTGGGCTGAGTGCCTCGTGCTGGGCTGCTGTAGCCTGCTTTCCCCATGAAGTCAATACTGCTATAGATGGCACCATCAGACAGCATGGTGCCCGTCTTCTCCACCGCTGCCGACGGTAAAACATCTGAGACAAAGAAGGAGGGTGACAGAGTGAGGAGGGAAAGGGATCATGGAGAGATAAGTTGACATGAAGTTAACGATCTTTAAGGTCATTAACACTCCCTGCTGTTCTGGCACTCTGGATTAGTTAAATACAGGTCTCAAATGGACTTGATATGAATGAAAGTGATTATCTACAACCATAATTAGCATGCAACAAGCTGTGGGAGCCCAGTGGAGTGCTCACAAGAGGGACACTCAAACAGCGCTAACCTTCAGCTCTTCTGTCTTGCACACATGAAGCCTGCAGCTCACCATGATTCCAGTGAGCTTAGCGAACATGCAAACATGCAAATACACAATGCAAAACATATACGTGGACCATCAACCTCACACAACCTTGAAAAATGTACGATGGCAGAGCATGAGAAAGAATGACAGGCAAAAAATATATGCAAACACCACATTTTTAAGCCAAATATCAGGCCTGTCAAATCAAATTAGTAAAGTATGGCCCTCAAAGGCGCTTTTAATTTGGGTGCGTGTGTTTGTTTGTGTGTGCGTGCTTAAGTGTGATGTCCTGTCACTGTGCTTCTCAGAGGATGAACATCAAAACTGTCCGACCAGGCACTGCTAAAACTCTGTTCTCCTGTTGTTGTTTCTTACCTCCTCGGCCAAAGTTGTTGCCACCCTTCGGACTTCCTAAGTCTCTGTTAGCCGGGAGGCTCGTGGAGGGCCACGAGTCAGCCAGCCAGGGGAGGCCTGGGTCACCTGTTTTCAACAGCCCCGGGCGGCTGTTGAGAGGATGTTTGTAGAGAGACAAAGAGACGAGAGCAGGAAGTGGTGACATAGTTAAATATCCAGCCTGCACCTCAACAGTATTGCTCATTTTCTTCCTGCTGCATCAACAACAAATTGATGTGAAAACTCATTCAGCATATTCTCGCCCGTGGAACAGCCCAATGCACAAGCAACAATAAACAACAGAGAGACATAAAATGGCAAGTCTATAAATCAGACTTCTGCCTCCCCTTAACTCCACCACCCCTAACTCTCCCTGGAGAGACAAGGCAGGCCTAAATACACACTAAATCCACTTTAGAGCCTTAGCACAACAGAAATTTACATTTTAAATTGAGAATCATGGGCAGCCTCTGGCAGATCAGCTACACTGGTGCACTGTCTCCATAGCAACAGAGACAGCAAAAGCCCATTAGGTGGTTTAGGAAAGCTACCGTGTCATTTTGTCTTAGTGAAATACAACAGTCATGAATACAGGATTTGACTTCAAGGTAGGAAAGTTGTGGGCAGCAATTCAGGGAGAAAAAGAACCACAGTTTACAACCACATTGTATCAGCTGCTATAAAAATGGCAAAACATTCACATGCCTCGTGCATCCGGTTTGCATATGTTTGCTTAATGTGCAGCCACACAGTGAATTTTCCACTGTACCAGGGGAATTGTTCACAGCTGACTTGGTGATGGCTCAAAGGTGTTCAAACAATTATGTCAATAATTTCCCTTTTAAAATACACACGCACATACATACATTTACATCCACTTACTTAGAAACACATGCTAGGACCGGCACGATGACACATATGTGCATATTCAGTGTGGAGAAACACACTCATGCACGTGAAAAAGGGCAAGAAACTGTTTATTTTTAGTCCATAATTTGCAACATTTGTTCTTGCTCTGGGCTTATCTGCTTGCTAAGGTGTGACAAAAAGGAAAGAGGGAACAGGGAGGAATAAAAACGAAGAAGAAGACCGCCATTCTTTCACTTTCTGCAAATCAAATGCTCTTTTTCTTATGGTTTCAATGCACTTTGATATTCAGTGGATGCAAAGGCAAGCTTCACTGTGGGCCTTTCGAGCAGGAGGGAGACTCTCATGGGCACCGAGCCGAGTCTCAAGGTCCAACGCTTTGTTTCTGCATCCGCACATACGACCCCTGATGGCGTAATGTATGCCAAGCTTTTTAAACAGCACATTCATCACCTCTCCCCTCCTCCCACGACCTCTCATTCTGCCAACCACCTCAAATGAACTGAGATAGAGCCAGTGAATAAAACCGCGGCCACCTGCATTAATTGGTAGCACTCACTTCAAAGGAGTGATTAATGATTTCATCAAGTGTACATCAGTGCAGATCATAGACTGATATGAGTAAGCAAGGGGAACACTGGAACATCTATGCAAATTCTATTCATCATGGAAGAACTCTTCATTTAAGATATTACAATGGGCTGTTGTCATTGAGAACGAAGGCAGGCTGAGCTCGGCACCGTGGCACTAAAATATCAGAGGGAAAGCTTTAGCTGTAGGGTTTCTTGGATTTTATAAGTTAATTTAAATACTCACCTTCCATTTCTGATCAGGCCTCGGTCTCTTTGGAACGTAACTGGTAGAGAAAAGAGGGAGGACAGAGAAAACGATTGAAACTTCAATTATTTTGTCTAAAAATTGTACACCACCACCATCACTTTGAATGACTGATACATTATTGCTGTCAGACTGTGGGCAGATAATTACTGTGATATTTTAAAGGATAATGCACAATGTAAAGACTTACCTGCACGAGTAAAGGTGAAGGACTGAACTGCAATTCAAACAGACAGGGAAAGTGTTCTTATCAAAGGGTAGATAACGTGTCATGAATCACAAGTAAAAAGATGCATCCATATTCTCTTGATCAAAAACAAAAAATAAAAAAATAAAGCATGAAATCAGGTGTGAAAATATGGATGAAGTCCTTTCATTTCTGCTTTGTTTGCTCATCTATCACCACTGAATGTTAGCACTGGTCAGGTCTTGATGGAACGTGGGGAGGTAATGCATCAAACCACTGCATTCCAGCATCTTTTGGAAATTACACTGAATGACCTGAGGGGTAAAGTTCAAATGAAGGTGACACCTTTGCCCTGGGGCATCTTCATCATCATCATCATCATCATCATCATCATCATCATCATCATCATCATCATCATCATCATCATCATCATCATTTTATAGCTTATATTTATTTCTTAGAAAAAGAGAGAGGATATTTCAATTTATGTAATAATAATAATAATAATAATAATAATAATAATAATAATAATAATAATAATAATAATAATAATAATAATAATACATTTAAAAAGTTTTTTTTTTTTTACTAACATGGAATTGTGATGTTTTGGAATTAAACTGCTCAGTTTGTTTTGAGAGAAAGGATCAGAGAAGCAGCTCAATCATGTAAATCCCTGTTGAATTAGGAAATCACAGCTCTCTCTCCCCAAGTCTCCACAATGGAAGCTGCTGTACACATTATAATAATGGCACACAGCTATATGCTTGACTCATGGAGGGATAAAAGAATATTTCATACCTAAACCTAGAGACACCTCATGTTAATGTGCAAACAACACCAGCTATGGTCTGATAATGGAAGGGGATGTTAAATTACTTATCTCACATGAATGTATTAGGGTGTTGAGGTGCGGCGCTGATGGAACTCAGCACAGTTGATGCACATCAGTGCACAGAGAATTAAAGTAAATAGGGCCTATTTCCATCTGTGCCGAATATTTCCTTTGTTCTGCATTTTAGCCAGCTCAAATGGAGTGACATCTGTGATGACATCAGCTTTCACTGGAGCCAGACCTACTGTGCTTTGAGATTCTGTGTTGATGAGGAACCATGTAAATTGATTTTTTACCTGCATAGTTGCTGAGTCCCTTCCTCTTTTTTCTCCTCCAGTAAAGCCAGGCACTGAAGCCCATGAGGACAATCCAGCAGGCCCCCCCCAAACCAGCAATGAAGGCCGGCTGCTTCACTACGTCTGAGATGCTATTGTTGCCCTCTGATCCCGTCATTACGTCCCTCAGTTCTGCACCTGGGGGCACCGTACACACACACACACACACACACAAACACACACACACACACACACACACACCCACACACACACACAGGAAGGAAACAAATGAATGGTTTAATGTCAATTTAACTACATATGAAAGAACAAATGGTTGTATTACAGTAATCACTGTGTATAAAAATCATTTCATATAAAAATGATATAAAGACAAAACATCACTTTCACATTGTGGTCCTCAGCAGGGCAATAAGGCACGTCTCAAATGTTACCAATAAATACATAAATACATATGAAGAGGACAATGTAAATGAAACCAACAAAAATAAAATATAATCAATAGTTTGTCTAATTGTGTGTATTGATATCATTATTAGTATTATTTCTTCTTGTTGATTCACAGCTGTGGGCTTTACAATAAAAACAAAGCATGAAATGCTCTGTATCAAACATCAGGCCACATGGACCACAGGAACAGCCAAAAGATGAGACCATGAATAAATAAAAAACAACACACAGGGCAACTGTGGTAAAAAAAAAAAAAAAAACTAAAAAAAAACAGCATCAGCGCATCCAATATGTCGGCAGAGTTAATCAATTCAGCAGTGCACTTATCAACTTGAGCTGCAAGACACGAGATTGACAGAGCAGCTCTGACAGAGTTTGATTTTCTGTTGCGGCTACTGTGCTGTGAAATTAGATTCACAGTCTCCAGCAGGAAACTCCCCCCATCATTAAGCTTCAGTCCACATGCCTGTGTTTCCCTTTCTCTGTGTGTTAAGGGTGTTATTATCAGTCAAAAGTCATAGATGAAGAGCATCTGGCCTGGGCTCCCATATTGATTCTGGGCTTATACACTCCAGGCATCCTTTAGTTATTTGATAAGATGTGATAGGCTGATAAGCTCCTACAAAAACACTGCCTACTTTGTTAGCACCAGCTGCCCACATATTGAAGAGGATTATTGATATGGCTAACAGTACTTGGCACTGTGTTACCGGACTCAGCACTCAATGAACTGCTATTGATTTCTCAGTAGACGTCTGCGTCGTAAAGTGCAATCTTCTTTCTTCAAGTGCGATAAATTGATAAATCATTTTTCCAGACCCCCAATCTGTGATGGAGACCTAGGTCCCCATTATGAGGTCATTTCATTTGACTCCAAGTTCAGTGTGTGTGTGTGTGTGTGTGTGTGTGGATTACCCAACATGATGAGGTGGGGTTTGCTCTTGACCCCCACTCCTGCGCTGGTGCCCGCAGCCACCTCCACGCGGTACTGCACTCCAGTCTGCAGACCCCCGACAACCACTGAACGGATGGTTGCATCCACAGACTTATTGACATGAAACCGCGTTTCGTTGGCCAAACACCAGATCTGACAAAGACAGACATGCCAGACAGAATTCATTGGAAGGTGATGCAGTACATTACTAAAACATTCAGGTTGGTATAGTGTAACAGGCGCAGAGTTTGATTCTACCTTGTACTCCTGGATGATGCCGTTCTGTTGGTCGGAGGGAGGAGGGTCCCATGACACACTGATGGACGTGCTGTTATGGCTCCCCACCGTCAACACTGTCACTTGCTGCGGAGGCGCACTGGGTGCTGATGGGTCAAGAGGGTGAAAATATTACAGAAACACAGGATATACATAAGAAAAAATAATAATAAAATGATTTAACAGATAAGGGTGTGCCAGGGTGTGTGTCAAAGAAGGATTTTTCTCACCCACTACCTCAATTCATATTCATACAGCCAGCCATACAACAAGGTATTTTCTAAGCCAGTGTGGCAGAAGGCTACCAGAGCACTCCATCTCAATTTCGTTTCTTAATGGTAAGACTTTTTTTGCATAACTGGGATCGAAAAAATGCAAAATGCTTCCATTATACTGAATTTAAGATAGCATTATACAACTGGCATCATAAGTAAGACACACCAAGCATTTGAGGTCCAAATTGCACTTTACTAATTGCACAAATGATAACCATTCCAAGCAGAAAGTTTAGAAAAGAGTGGAATTTTCCTCTGCCAAGAAAAAAATGGCTGTGCCCACTAACTAACATCACCTCCATAATGGATTACCACCATTGTAAATGCTTCTGAAGTAGCTGTATTCAATTTTGCATATCTTGTTGACATGAAAATGGTCAGTCTCCTGTGATGTCCTGTAATGAGCGTTTAGAGATGGTCTGTCGACAGGAGTGTAGGGCTGGGCCCCATGGTGCCAAATTCAAACTCCCACTGGAATGGGTCATTTTTAAAAATGTACCAAACTGGCCAGATAACCTGCGCGGACAGATCAGAGATTTAAAGAGACTGCAGGCAACAGGAGGCAAACACCGTATCTATGCAACTGAGCAAATCATCATCCCTCGCTGAATGGACTGCACAACCGCTCTGGGCACATAGTTTCTCATGATTCCCATTAAAACTATCATTATGCTCTGACTGAGTGGATGAAATAACCACTCTGAATCCAATTAAGGGGCTGCAAAATAATAATGTTATCTGCAGTGGATCCATGTAAGCAAGGCAATGGATGCCACAGGAATGCAGAAAAGCCAGAGCAGGTGGGCGATGACGGTTGTCTTGCCACCTGGCTGGAGAGGAACAAGGATACTATGACTTAAATTCTCCAGATGGACTTGCTTCTGCCAATTGCTGGTGAGAAATGCAATAAACATGTGCACAGTGAGTCACAGAGGCAACAGCAAGCCATGTTCATAGAGTATGTATTAGTGGATAGGATCTAATGAAGCCAGGCCACATTAGAAGTATAATAGAGAGTGTCTGTGCCAGTCCTGAGACTGACCTCTGCCAGTTTTATGACATCTGGATAGCTCTCAACATCTGCCTCAGGTAACTCATATAGCAATGGATTTTTTTTAAATTGGAAAAATGAAACAAATCCCCCCAAATGATTTAACTTGTGCTTCAAAGAGGGGCTCTAAACAGATACAGCACATCAGTAAAACATTTGACAGCCTGGCAGTACAAAGGAATTAAATCAGCCATATGAGATTCAGTTTATTTTTATTACATTTAACAAATTGACTCAGCCTAGTTTGAGGGATCTATATTCAGCCATTTAGACTGTATTGACTTTCTGAAACAATTACGTTTAACCAGGTCTCACAGATGTACTGTCACAATATGGGGATGATTCTAATATTTACAAAATGGAAATCAGTTAATTAAGGACAGGCCAGCTCAGTTTAAGACTTAAGAAAATATCCCATACTTATTTTACACTGTATTCAAGCCATAGATACAGATAACCTTAACTCCATACTTCAAACAAACATTAACCAATATAAATGCAGGTAGAGTGTAGCAGAAGGAAGCCAACCTTTATAAATCATTTGCAGAGCCAATCAACACCTAGTTCTCTGGCTCATAATCATTAATTAAATCTACTGAGGGAAGAACAAGCAAACAAAAAGATCTGATAGAGCAAAACTTCAGCCGATTTGTTAATTGTTTGTTGATAATCTGTATTATCCAGATGTTGGACTTTTGGACAGAATGCAGAATAACAACCGTGGCTTGAAGTAAAAAATGTTCAGTAGTGGAAATTGCACATCTGGACTGTCACCACAATCCACGAGCTTGGGCTAAAAGCAATCCATCTACTAGTTTATATATATATATATATATATAAATAAAAAATGTAACACATACGACATAATTTCATACTGGCAGTAAAAATCTCATATTAATTTGTGGTTATACTGCATTTAAGTGATAATTTAAAATCTTCAAATGTTTTGTCAAACACTGCTGTGCTCTATCCTGAACACTGCTAGCTGCTGCAAACTGTTCCAGAGAAAAAGACGTAAATGCACAGGACTCTCAATTACTCCTTCCTATACTTCCTGCTTCATATAATTCCCATATGCCAGAAGTAAGCATAGAATATCAGCATCAGCAGTTACCTTAATAAAATTATCAATAATAGAATAAGAGTGCAGCAGTTTGGGAGATTACAGAAATCTTGTTCTGTGACCAATGAAATGTGCAGTTTCAGTTTTTTTCACACTGTCGTTGTGACAAAGAGGACGTTTAACTTAAAACTATATATGTGTCATTGCTTCACTGATGTCAGTGCAGTTTTCAAAGTGTCATTTCACTGGTGCTGTTTCAGCAAACTGATGGAGCTTGTCCAGTCAGTCAAAGGGTTACATTAGGAGGAGACGGAAAGCATTAAGTCTAGCTATGCAATTTCCGTATGTATGAGGAGCATTCCCTGAGGATGAGTAATGGCTACAATACCAGTAATGACTCAGGATAGCTTGTTCTTAATAATGTGACTAATACTGATATTACGACTGATGAACGCAGCAGATAGAGAGTCATTTAAAGAACGTCTGAGGGAGCATCTCAGTTTTTACTCACAGTTATGCAATTAAAGAAAAGACGCTTAAGCTGCCCAATGTCCTGAAATACAGGGTATAGAAATGGTGAACATAACCTGTTATGCAAATGGTTGCATCAATTAAGCTAATTAATTCATGAATTAGCAAATATTTCTATGTCAACACACCTGACCCCATATAACATGTGTAATGTAAAATAAACTAGTAGGATCAGTGACACACTGGAATGACCCCGCCTTGATCTAAGCTAATACTTTAGCACACAATAGCATTTCCTTTGATTTGCCATCAGCAGGGGTGGAAAGCACGAGCATCCTATGGATGGCAGTGATGGTGGTGACATCACAGAGCATGTTGCCTCTGGCCACACTGGTCACACAGAAAACTCATTGAAGGGTTGTGAGGATCATTTATCTTGATACACAGTTTTCCCCAGCATGCAGTGGGAACCGTCGGCTGCTCTGACCTCTGACACCCTCATGATGCCCTCTGCTAGGGTTTCACAAAGGCAGTGGCACATTCCCAATCTTCCTTTGATGGATAACGAATGTTTTTCTCATAATTCTGCAGCGCAGCATATTTTCAGACTCTAAAGTATTGGTAGATCAAGCCAGTTTTTCATTTCCCATGATGCCTTGTCTCCAGGACCCCAAGTAACTAGAGCATGTGCCCCAGTCTGCAAAAACCTCCAGTGATCCTGTGTGGCCATTTTAATTGGACTCCAGTGTGGTGAGTGTCTCTTTCTCCACCAATTGCATCCCCTGTTCACAGCCCTTCCTTATCATCTTACTGGGAGGAAGATGCAGCACTCTGATCCTCTCATCATTAGACACTGATGCTGTGAACAAAAGTTTTTCTTTTACATTAATGACAGTACAAGCCATGTTCCACAGTCCAAATGATGTAGCTCCTGAATGCAGTAGCATGAAGACCATCGTTGAGTTGTCAAGACAAGTTTATAACACGTCCTCAGAGCAACTGCATCTTCAGGACAGACTGGAGGCTACAGTGAGTCGCTATCAGAAAGTTATGAAACAGGCTGGGGCTAGCTGGTTAGCATGCTAACTTCAGTAGAAGAAAAGATGTGATAGACAGCTGTTGGTGAGTAAAGGAAGGAAGTTCGATGTTGAACTCGCAATGTTTCTTCTAGACTGGATTGTCTAATTTACTATTTTTGATTTCAAGAATGAACATTCGTGATTGATTTATTAGCCAGTACAGATGCAAAATCATAATTCAAACTCACAAATATTTCTATGGATGAAATTATAACAGCTACTTAGCTAGCATGTCAACAATGATAAGGTATCGATGATGATAAGCAAAATCTATAAAGACCAAGTGGTTGAAAGCTCCAGACAACGCTAGTGAGTGAACTTTAGGTTGGGATTGTTTTTGTTATGAAGTTTACCTTTGATGTTTATGAAACCATGGTCGCCATGGTGCTTTTTATTTAAAGGCTGTTAGCAGACTTTTTTATTCCATATTTGTTTAATTATTGGCAAACGGGACCATTAAAGGTACGCTGAATTAGCTGTAAGCACTTCCTGTTTGCAGTGAACCCATGGATGTACAGAGAACTATCATTGGAATATTTTGATATGGAAGAAGATTTAAAAACATGATGTTTTTTTTGAGGCAATTCCTGGAGTTATAGGGAGCATCTTTTACTGATTTTTAAGCAGATTTATGGACATTATATGATTGAAAAAAGTGAGTTATGTTGAATGCAGAAATATATGTATCATGTGTGTCTTAGTTTTTACAGAGTTATGACTCGTGTGAAATCAAATTATACTGCAATTTATTCAATTTTACAAATAACAGATGCCACAAATGATGTGTTTACATTATGTTACATTATTTATGCCACAAACAATTAACCTTAGAAGAATCAGCAGCTCATCAACTGACGGGCAAAATAGGAGGACACCAAGAAGTGTTATCGCCAATAAAGCTCATTGGAGATTGAGACTGTGTGCGTGCGTGCGTGCGTGCGTGCGTGCGTGCGTGCGTGCGTGCGTGTGTGTGTGTGTGTATGTGTGTGTGTGTTAGTGAAGGTGGGTCATATCACAGAGGTGTGTTTGGTGTGTGACGGAGAGATGGCAGCAGGGGTCCACAGAGGAGCAAGGAGAGAGCTGAGCTTATGTCAAAGGAAACTGTTTTTGCCTCCCCCCTCTGCCCACCAACCCACAGAGGCCTGGGCTTGTCACAGACCCCCACTGTGCTGTCTGGGAGACCTGTTTTCACACACTGGGGACGTGGCACTGCAGCAGTATGCGTGTGTGGGCTGGTGTACTTGAAATGCCATTATCCATTACTATCTAGCCACGAAGCCATTACCAGCGGCAGCTAAATATAAAAGTAGGTAGAATCATTTACACAAGAGCATCTGCTCATGCATAAGTAACTAAATCCTACATTTCTTGCGACACAAAGTCGCAGACAAATTGATTTTTGTCAGAACTGTGAATTTGTCACTTACCTTCCTCCATGGTGCGCGCTGTCATGGATTCACTGTCTGCACCCTGGAACTCGTTGAAGTATGGCCGCACTTTAATCTCATAGACGATGCCTTTCTTCAGACCAGAGAGAGTTATGTCCCTCTCTGAGGCAACCTTCAAGTCCTGTATCTGCCAAGGCCCTGGGGAGGGCAGCCCTGACGTTTGTCGGTAAAGAACACGGTAGCCTTGAATAAACTGGGATGGATTCTCCACCTGAGAGGAGAAGGAGAGAAAAAGGGATGAAGACATACATCTGTGTGTAAACTGCTTTGGAGCTGTGGATCAGCATTCAGTGTGTGCCCTCGGTCTGTGACAATGCACGCTTAGTTAATCATACAGTTTCATTAGCAGCAGAGAAGCTACACACCACATGAAGAGTGTTGGAGGGTATTCGCCAAAGCTGAACAGTACCCCCAGGTCAGACACCTCCAGAACAGTCTAGACTCCAAATACTGGATCAAAATAGTCTGAATTTTTTCTCTTTTATTTATTTATCTCATTTTCATTTTTGCTACTGCATTTCAAGGGAAGAGTAAAATATGTAACAGATACGACTCATACTAATGGCTTGTTAACAGGGACAGAAGCAAGAAAAAGCTTTTACACGTGATATAAAGCAGCTGTTTATCATCAGAGCAGTCAAAACATATCAGGATGTAACGCTCCTCTTTCCCTCTCTCTCCCTCTCTCTCTCTCCCTCTCTTTCGCTCTCTCTTTCATTAACAAAATGATTTGTGTATCTAAAAGCCTTATAAACAGAGGAAGTAGCTCCATCCACATATTTGTTCCTGTATGTTACTTGAAATAGAATTTATGGTTGAGACCATGAATCAAAATAAATGACCCTCCGCTGTGCTCACTGTCCTATTGTCTTAAAAGACAGCGGCACTGTTAATTAACCTGAAGTATATCTACTGCACACTTCCCTGCCATTCAGTGGCAACATCACACCTGTCTTTTTATTATCAAACATAACATGTTTAATTTTGCACATGTATTAGCAATGTCATGCACATTCTTCAGGATGATGAAGTTGCTGAAAGACATGTAACAACAACCATGTCTGAGTTATAGCAACACTTTAAACGTACAGATTAGTGTCTTTGTTTTTTACTATAGTTATTAGACAGAAATATTCCAGAGGCCTATCCATTATCTCTCAAAACAGGAGGAATTTGTATTACTACCTTTTGACTGTCTTGTAGGAAACTCTCAGAAAAGCAAAGTCAGCAGTGCAAACAAGTGAACAGAGTCTGAGAGAAAGATGATGAGTGTATGAGCCAGGATTAGGTTTGAGTTTGATATCATGTCTGGAGTGAGGATAACGGCTCCAAATTGGCACCATCTCTGTTTTATTACCTGACATTTAGTGAGTGTCTGATTGTCAAATTAAAGTTTACTGAAATATAAAGTCCAACACAGAAACTCTGTGCTGTGTGCACCAGATAATAAAAGAGTGTTCTTCCCACAAATGGAGCCAGGTCATCTATGGTCCCATTCAGCTGGACCACAAATGCAGGTTTAACCTGTCACTGTGTCAGTCTAACAGCAGCATTCAGTCCATAGTTGTACTGACAAGTAGGAAATAGCAGACTGGTGTAAACCCATCCTAGGTGTGTCATTAACCTACAGCAGCTGGCAGCAGGGACGCCTTGCCAACAGACAGGAATAACATTTCCCAGATAAAGGGCTGATTGCAAACTGACTCCAGAAGTGACACATGTAGCATCTAATGGTGATGTATTTGTCCTGAATAGAAACATTAGTCTTGATTCCTGCATCACCCCAACCATTCTAAACTAATGGAGTACCAGCTGTTCAGTCTGAGTGTATAGCTGTCCCATCATGTTTACTGTGTGTGTGTGCGTGTGTGTGTGTGTGCATGTGTGTGTGTGTGTGTGTGTGTGTGTGTGTGTGTGTGTGTGTCTGTGTGTCTGTGTGTCTGTGTGTCTGTGTGTCTGTGTGTCTGTGCGTGTGCGTGTGCCAACTAATCCAAAACACAGTAACTTCTGAAACAAGCTTAGACAAGATTTGTTTGGCTGCTCTGAAGGTAACAGTAGCACAATTACTGTAAACCACTACAAATGTTTCAGATGGTGTGAGTACTCACAGTCCATGTGACCTGCACTGAAGTGGAGCTCAGGACCACAGGGTTGTGCATGCTGACCACCACATCCCCCAGCTCCTTCTGCACACGACGGTGGTCCACCCCCTGTGCTGTGGGACTAATGTCTGGCAGAGAGGAAGAAGAGCACTTAGTGTGGACTAGTGATGCTTATTACTCAGGCTCCATTACAATACACCCTCATTACTGTACCTTGTGTCCGGACAGGCTCAGACATGGGGCTGGGGTCCCCGAGCCCCTGAGCATTGACGGCCCTGATGATGAAAAGGTAGACCGTATTGGGTCGTAGGTCCTTGACCGTGTACTCTGTGGTCTTCACGTGGTCTGCCACTGTCTGCCAGCTGTTACTCACTGACTGACTGTAGAAAGAATACATCTATTCAGTTGGGACCAGTCTTTTCATTAGTAGAGAAGAAACAGTTTATTGGGGGCAACACTGGTGGCCTGTGCTCCTAATGACTGGGAACAGCGCTGGGACCGGGAGAATCATTTTCTGCTTAAAGTGTGCTTTCATTTTCCAAATAATTAGCATGTAAATCTAAATACCGGAACATTCCTCATTCTAATTCATTTCTAAGAGTAACTGTAAGAGAAAATCCATCCAGAATATTCTGCTGGAACTGTCCTGGCGTGCTTCAATGCCCACAGAAACACCCACATCTGTTACTGCCATGAAAGTTTGGGGTCACTAAACGTAGCTCGAGGCCATAGGTCACAGACATACCCAAAGGCCTCAATGACATAGGAGGACACTGGGGAGCCCGCCTCTGGCCCCGGTTCCCATGACAACGAGATACTGCTCTTGGTAACGTTAGTGACCTCTGGCTTGGAGGGCGGCCCTGGGAGGGCCGTAGCATTGTGCGACATGAAGTCTACGAGCTCAGTGGAGTCTGACAAAAGAAGAAACGCAAAGAGGCAAAATGAATACCTGCAAAAGTAAAGGATATCAAAAAACACTGTGTTCATTTTTCATATGGATTATTAGTATTGAAGCAGACCTCTGACATCCAAGAAGGCACTCCATGATGTTTCTCCACTGGAGCTGGTGGCTACACAGGTGTACAGCCCAGAATCAGACATCTACGGACGGAAGATTATGTCGTTATCATTTATGTTCAATAAACTCTCTGGCAGTATGACAATATATAATAATAATAATATACCTGAAACAACTAGAAACCCAAGTGTGATCTCAGTTAAGTATTTGGACAGTTACATTATTATTTTTGTCCTTCAGGCTCGGTGCTTCAGCACATTCAAATTGAAATAAAATAATGAATACTACATTAAGCTTTAATTTGAGTAGGTTTACGTCAATATTGAAAGAAGTGTGTTTGAGATGTGACCCTTTTAACACATACTGCCCAAGCTGCAAGGGCTCAATAGTAATTGGCCACTAAATGTTTCTTGGGCAGCTGTGTATTGTTGATTGAGAGTTAAGACTTGCCAATTAGACTGAGGTGGAGTTGTCTGTCAATATGAGGAATAATGAGGTGACAGTGCAAGAGAGGAAGATAATAATGAGGCTAAAAAACCAATCTAACAGAGATATCAAAGGTAGTTGTTTTTCCCAAACAGACTTCATTCTACGAAAGCTAGAAATTTAAAATCATTTGTGTGGTGAAGAAAAAGCCCTTTATAGTAACGCTCTCCAGGATGTAGCTGTACATGTTTCCTTGTCAATGATTAAGAGAAGACTTCACCACCATAACCTCAGAGGATTCACCAAGAGATGCAAACCCTCAAAAACAGAAAGGGCACGCCATAGTTCACAAAAAACATCCAACAGGAAGCTGGAGCTACGGTCTATGGAGTGATGCAACAAAAATCAACCTCTGTCAAAATGATGGAAAGAGGAAAGTGTGGAGAAAAAAAAGGATCGGCTCATGACCCAGAGCCACCACCTCATCTGTCAAACACGGTGCTGGTTCTGTTTTGGCTCAGGCAGGTATGGCTGTCAATGGTTCAGGCGCGATGGCAATTTATTGATTTTGTCACAGCTGACGGAAGCAGCAGGACGACTGCAGAGGTAAACAGCAGCATTCTGAGCTCAGATTCAGCCAAAAGCATCAAGACTCATTGCACCGCATTTCATCATTCAGCAGGACAACGATCATAAACATACGGCCAGAGCAGCCAAAGAGGTTTTCATGGTGAAGAGGTGGAATATGTTTGTCTAAAGGCTTGAACATCCTCAAGCTGGATTCCACTTGCTGGAGATCAAACTGAAGGCAGAGAAACCCACAACAAGCAACAGCTCAAAGTGTGTACAGTGAAGGTCTGGGAGGGGAGATACACAGTGTCTGGACTTCATTGACCATAAAATATCAAATATTCTGATTTAGTTTGACTTCACGTGTATCTGTTCAATAAGTTTTAACCCATAAAAGACTATATCTCCCTCTCAGTTCTTTCTACGGTGATGTAAAGCCTACAAAAAAGCTGAGACTTGGTACTTTCTTTTAGCTTATGCAATATTATTAAGAACAGAATCTAAAGACCAAAAATTGTCAAAATCAAAGAGGTGATGTCTTTTCCATGAAACTGGCCTGTAGAGATTGTCTCTGCTCATCCCAATAACACCACTAATACAGCTTCCAGGCTATGCTCTTCTGCTGTGCTGTTTGACTGAATCCAATAGTCTTTGTAGCTCTGATCCCAGGTGGTTTCTACAAGCTCTTACGTCAGTCCGGGCTTTTGAAGGAGGTTCACAGCTAGTAGTACAGTAAAAATGCATTAACCTCCACTGGCCTGCATTTGGCTTGAGAACAGGCCCGAGAGTGGATGAGAGGAAACTCTAACACCAGCCAATGAAAAACAAAGAGCCCAGTAAGAGCTTACATTAATTTTCTTAATTGATTTCCTCCAATAATAGTCACCCCCCACCCCCCACCTCCCCATATTCCCAGAGCCATCAACATTATCCTCATCAGTGCTGACGCAGGAAAGAAGAGATATGACAATCTATTTCATATTGGCAGTACCTCAGGAGTCACTCACAAGTGTGCTGGCTCTCTAGAGAGAGGGTGACACAGAGAGAGCACTTTGACACTGTGACAGGACACTGTATATTGCAGTTCCTCCATTATATTACCCCCTTTAAACTCTGCTTACTGGTCCCTGTCCTTGAGTCCTTGACTCTAACTGCTGCATCAGAGATTCAGACTAAATTGCAGCGTTTAATGACTTATAAAAGTCAATACTCACTATTCATCTTTTAAAAGCAACCTGACTGCACTTGTCCATTTGAATTACATTCAGCTGACATCAGTTGCCAGATGAGAGGATTTCTCTTTCCTCTTCTGCATGCAATAGAGTGATGTGATGTACTAACACAAAAAACTTAACCACTAGACATGTGTGTTTGTATCTATTCACTGAATATATGATACATGTGATTCCTTCTTTACACGCCGAGCTGTTTTCATTGACAGTGCAGTGAGGTGGGTGAACACACACACAGTTAGGAGTCCTTGCCAATGGAGAAGAAAAAGGACTTGGCCTTGTTTACATGTGTAACTTGCAGAATGTGAAATGTGTGAACAGTATGATTATTTACATGAACATCTACAGGAGATTCAACTGATCTTCTATTTGGTTTAAAATGTTATTTAATAATTATTTGTTTTACAGATAGATAGACAGATAGATAGATAGATAGATAGATAGATAGATAGATAGACAGACAGACAGACATATAGATAGATAGATAGATAGATAGATAGATAGATAGATAGATAGATAGATAGATAGATAGAAGATAGAGTTATCATGTAGTTGAACCCAGGATCAGCTAGACAAATAATTATTCTGGTTTATTTCAGTAGTGGTTGGTGTTGTTTTTGTAATAATATTACCAATGGCCATCATTGCCACTGGTAATAATGAGACTGTACACAACATCCACCACTCCAGCTAATTGCTGAGATCTGATAACACAGCTGCTTGTTTAAAAATAAGATCTAATGAGGCAATGAACATGAGTCAGATGATCATACATGTTTAAAACATTCAGGCTTGTTTACAGCCTGGTTGTTTGTCTGACTGCAACAGTGCCCTGTTCCCATATCTCAGCTAGAGTAGGATGAGTACGATGTTATCATACCTGCTACAGAAGATCCCCAAAACTATGAAAATAAATTGTAATAAGGCAGAATTATCCTTCAACTGTGGTCCACCGTGCCACCTAATGCTATGTCTACAATCCCACATGCTAACTCCTGTGTATGTGCATGTCTCTGTATTCCACTATAACCCACCCTGGTGCTCTGGATCTGAAGGCTTCCGTGGTCGAGCAGGGAAAACCGCGGGTCCTTTCCAAGCAGACTGGCCCCGTTCTTTCTCCAGGAGACTGTGGGCTCTGGCTCCCCAGATGCCTGACACCTGAGAAGGGTCACACCTCCCAGCGCCTGTGTTTGGTTGGATGGGCCCTGCCGGATGATGGGTGGTGGGCGGTCCTTCAGGGCTGAGGATAATAATCAAGGAACAGATGTTTATTATTTGAATACATTCTTAGCAGTGTAATTTTGATGTCATGGTCTTGGCGTGAAAAAAGAAAAATGTAAGAAAGAAAAAAAAAAACATGACCTTATCACAAGGTGTTAATTTGTGATTGCAGTAATTGCATTAGTGATTGCAGTCCCAATATGTTAGCGCTCAATCTGATGGATTTGTTGTGAGAGGAAGTGACTCTTTAGTGAGCCTTTTCCACAGTAGGGCAGTGTGCTCATGGCACTGCATCACACCTTTGAGCTTTAATTACTAGGTGAGGATTAACGATGCTTCACCCATGGTGCTAATTACCATACCTTCTTTATAACACCCCTCAACACATTCATGCCTGTCCTCTCTCTTACTCCTCTGACTCATGGCTGCACCTCCTCCCTCTTGGCATCTCTCACCCTCCCACCCCGGCCCCAACCCCCCCACACACTAAACTAAACTCTGAATTAGCATGCCAAGCAGAACAACAATACATCTCTTTTAAAGCTTTTTAAAGCATGTTATATCGCCCAGAAAACAGCTTCTGCACTGTGCAATAGTAATTTCTCGAGTGCTGAATCTCTCTAGGCCTTGTAACTACCCCCCGCTTTCAATTTCCTCACTGCTGCTCTCCACTGTTATCAGGTCTGTCTCCATTCGCACAAGTGTTTACAGCAGGTTCCTCCTGCCTTATCTTCCATCACACCTCCTTCAGCACAATGAGGAACACAGCAGCTCCAGCAGAATGGGAGTGAAATCAGGTACAACTAGCTGAAGCACAGAGTACAGTGAGGAGAACCAAATGTGATACTCCATTTTATAGACAGAGAATTGTTTGCTTTTGTGTAACAATATAAACATCATCTGCTGCACATTGTGTTGTTGAGAAGCATCTACTGGAATCTGACTGATATGTGACTGTTATGAAAATGAGATAAATGCTTTTTATTTCAGTTGAACATGAGATTAGTCTCCATACTGATTATAGACAGTCTAACGTCGCAACATTACATCTACTGTACAGCAAGCTATCACAATCCCAACGGACGAGAGAGCAAACACCAACATTATATTGCTGTTCCTGATTTAGCAACAGTTCAGTAAGAAATGCAATCATGCTCTCCAGCTTTAGAGACAAAGGTAATAATAAAATGTTGCTTTGGAGGTTGTTCGTCATTTCTCCTGACCAATGGCCACTCAGGCTGCAAAACAAACTGAACTGGTTTACTGTAGATTTGCAGGCAAAGGGATCCAGTTACTAGCTACATGCGTGCCACTGAGTGAATGTTTATAATTAAAATATTAATTAGACGAGTCAACATAGTCAGAGCATCATTTTCTACAAATACCACCATACCACGGCTCAAAACTAGAGTTGAGAGGTAACTGTCAAGGTTCTGGTTGGTACTCTTTGATCAAGCATCACAGCAGTAGCCACCATTAGCCTCCAGGTATCCTCAGTGTCTGCAGGAATAGGTCAGACAGGTTCAAGCTCACCCCAAATCTATCTGGTATCAAAAACTCACCCCCTGTGGGCTTGAAATATGGCTTTGAAATATGTGCAGCTCGGAGAGCTGTGGTCATCTTGGATTCACTGCAGTTACAATGGATTCTAACAGTGACCCACTTTCACATCCACAGAAAATTGTCAGACCACTTCTGCGGTATCTCAGCTGTCTATCCCTCTGCTCAGAACACTCCAAACAACTTTCAGCCACAAATGGCTGAATACGACTTTGTTTCAACCCTCACACACAGTCTGCCTCAGCTTGCATGCTTGAGTATGTGTGCGCATCATGGAGTGAAGACTCCTGTTGTTACACTGGTTAGGAGAACTGGACTTACTAATTCTGCACCAGAATGACTACAGCTTCAACTTTAAAGTTCTTCTCCAGACATGTTTTAAACAATATAAAAATATGTATGCTGCTTTGATTAATATTTTTTTCAAACAAATGGAAACCTAAGTCTGGAAGCACATCTGCACTTCGCTTCTCCTCCTCGAGATATCTGGATCAGGCCTTGTGTCCCGCCCACCACCTGCTGGCTCCAGGTGGACAGGTGAAAGAGCAGAGAGCATCAAGATGGTTAGAGGAGGAAACATCAGAGAGACTCAGCCACATGTCTGAGCCTCAGTCAGACCCAGACTCAGATGAGGAGTCTGTTGAGACCAGAACCAGAGACTAGCAGACGGATCAGAACCGTTAGCTAGTTAGCATCTTTTATTTGTTGTTTGTTAGCTTGTAACTGGCAGTGGCTGACACAGTGTTAGCAGTTGTGCTAATGCTAACTCTCACTATCTCTGTACTGACAAGGTTTCAGGTGTATTTAGCCCCGCCCCCCGTCCCCACAGGGATTGGTTCTTCAGGTCTGTGACGTATGAAACCCTGAATCTGTGTTTATGAGACTGTCTTTGGTTCACTGCAGTTCAAGGTGAAAACACACAGTCATGGTGTTATGGTGTTATTATTTCACTATCAATGTCGGTATTACATAAAAACATCATATGGACGTTAACAAGGTTAAACACTAGATTTCCATTGGAAGGAGTCTTTAAGTTGCAGCAAGGACCACATCTAACTGGTTGATTAATAAAGCAGAGTGGAGCACTAGTCAGAACCCTCCAGAGCTTTTCATCCTGTGGAGGATCCTCTTTGACACCCCAATGGAAAGTGATCTTCCATTATTAAGTAAAGCCATAAGCATCCAGAACTCCAGTAGGCAACTCTCTATCCATCTTTGTTTACAGCCATCAATCAAAGGCAGTCCTCCCATCCCTTGTGCTCTGCACCAAACATTTGGATATTGATCCATCTCCTCTGAGTGACAGAACAGGAGTCATTTCCTCCCCCAAAAAAAACTTCAACAGATGTTAATTTAATAATGTGTGGGAGAAAAAGCCAAGAAACAAATGGAGAGAAGGGCATAAACAGCTCCCAGCTGGCAGCGGCTCAGCACTTAATGCTGACATTAAAGCTTTGTCAAAAAAAAGTGCAAAGTGTCTCTCCATCAAGGAGACAGCTTTATTTTACACAGTTTCAGTCTTTTCAGACCATTCACATTTACCACAGTGAGGTGATAATGAAAAGGCTGACTGTGGGTGACGGGCTTTTAGAACATACAGATGCATGTTCAGCTTTAAATATGTGGGCAGACAAATAACCTGCGGTATACTGGTATTCAATGTTTTATTAGGTCTGGATAATGCTACAAGCTTATGTTTGTGTTTTTTGTATGATTTATAACCCAGTAAAAAAAATGCACCAACATCAAATACAGAAAACCATTGACAAGGCTTTTAAAATGTAATGCATGTTTTTGCTGACCCAGTTTGAACATTGCCAAAACAATGTGACTTCAGGAAGCTAAGTAAAATATGTTTGGTGGTTCAAACATATCTGAAAGTCATGAGAAGAACGTGAAGAAGAAGTCGCATCACTTTTCAGCACCATCTCCTCTACAAATCAACTCAGTTACAAACTGCTAAGTTTATACTTCATATCAGAAAAGCAGTGGTGTTTCTGTCATCTTTAGCTTTTTAGAGAAAACCCTCCAGATGATGTGATGGGGGGGGGGTGATGCATAATGTATCTAACAGGATGTAACAATGGAATGTAAGTATAAAATGTTTAAACATAACTTTTATGTAACATTAACTAATGTTGGTGATACTAAATCACATCATCATAGTTCTCATATATTAATACACTGTATTATAGATTATATACATTTGTTATGTGTGTGTTTGTCGGACTTACCGTCTGATACCTCCAGCTGTGCCTTGGCCATGATGCTGCCTGCTACAGTGAGGGCCTGGCAGATGTAATACCCTGCATCAGAGCGTTGCACAGATGAGATGGTCAGCTCTCCGTTCACGGACACAAACACGCGGCTGTCTCCCTGTGTCGGCTGGTTGGGAAACAGAAGATCCTGCAGGGAGTGAAAGTAACGTTAAGTGTTATGGGATTGAATTAGCATTAAATGTAGAGCCTGGAACCTTCTGCTGTGTGTTTTGTTCATGGCCGCCCTCCCCAGTGTGTTTCTCTGTTGTCGAGAACTACTTTACTGAATTAAGTGTTGATCTCTATGGGGACAGAATGAGTTTATTTGATTTTAACGTTACATCTTTGACCAACATAACTGACTTTAAAAAAAAAAAAATCACCACTGTGCCTTCAATACATTTACATACTCTGACAATTATGTACAATTCAGTTAGAAAAGTGGGTCAATGTCTCTTTCCTACTAAGCCTGAATGGCAGTTTACCCCCAGAGTGATAATCTGTGCTGTGATAACCTGCAGTCATGGTCATGAAATTGAGGCATCAGCGTTCTCCGTTTCTGCACCCCAAGCAGACAAGCTGATGGGCAGCAAAGGACATTAGCCTGCTTTCATTATGTCTAATGACTCTAATGCAGCACATGACATTGTTTCTTGCTAAGTGATTTGGCTGGTCAGACTGGCGTCGATTGATGATAAATGACCACTTCATCTATATGTGGGACAGAACTATATTCTGCTGTCCCCTGGTTTGATCCTTTTAGTCAGATGCTTTTTTTATATTTTACATATTTTACTTTTGACATGGTTCCAGAATTTATGTATATAGAGAGAAATAATTAATTCCCCAGCATGCACATATCTTTATAGACACACATGCACGAGTACATTTGTTTAAATCAGTATCCTCACCTGGCTGCCCTCTCGTTGCCAGAACACAGTGGGCTGAGGTTTGCCTCTGGTCTCGCAGGGAAAGGTAGCTGTTCGTCCTTGAGCCACAATCTGGTCACGGGGTCGCACCACAAACTGGGGTGCCTCTGAGGTTAAAGGTAAAATAAACAATAACACAATAGCAACACATTGGCACAGAGAGGTGTGTATTATAAAGGGCTGCTTTAAAAAAACAGTTTGGACTGAAGGTCCAGCTGCAAGCTAAAAGGTTCATGCATTAGGTTTTGTCATTTGTTTGAGAGCTATTTCTTGACTATGCCGGTCACACAAGCCATTCATTCAGCTGCCACAACATCAGAATGAATGATACTAGCTAATTAGCAGGGTGCCTTGATGTCCTCGATTCAAGGTTTTCCACTAAGGCGTATCATCCATATCTGGACCCCCATTTGAAAAAAAAAAAAAGTGAAGTGGTAAATCCACTGCTGCTACAAAAGACTGCCAGGGGAAGTCAGGGACTGATCGTAACAATGTAGATATGCATGTTCAATAATAGTCTGATGAATGTGTTTGTGGAATGCCACAACAGTACATGCATACTGTACGTGTGTGATCAAAAACAGAAAGAGAGCAACGCATGCACAATGGGATCAGCTCTTACTTACCAACGGGGCGAGCTGGTGACACAACAATGGTGTGGGTGAGATTAACACACGACAGAGAGAAGAGGAGCAGAGGAGTAGAGTACAGGGACAGAAAAAGAAAAGAATGAAAATCAGAAATGAATGAGATGGAGTTGGGTTTCCATCCATGAAGATCAAGGAGGAGGAGGGTAATGCTCTGGTCACCAAAGGAGGTGAGTTCATGGGCCTCAAGGAAATGGCACCTTGGCAACATTAAAGGTGGTGGTGGTGGTGGGGGGGGGGCTGATGCCAAAACCCACAGAACAGATTTATCAGTAGTAAGACTTCATGTATGTATAAAAATAACACATTCACGCAGATGTGTTTGTATATCATCGTCTGACTGATTGTCATATATTACTTGTCTTGTCTCAACATATCACCAACAGATAACATAACAACACTAACATCTAAACTGACTCTGCATCAGTGATCTATGTTATCTGTGTTAACTATATACAGTTCCTAACATTATTCACCTGAACACAATCACAACTCTGGCTTAACATAATGGATATAAGTCAGACCGTGCCTCGACTCCAACACAAATCTTAAAATACACCATGGAGCTTTTTTTTCAAGGTGTAAGACAACTCATGCATGAATAATAGGGACAAGAATAAAAATTTCATTATAATAAAGAAGGAATGAACAGTTAATGTCATGACATCTATGATGTACAGTATGTATGACGACGTATGAAATATTCATTCAGGTGTTAAGATTGTGCCGCTGGTTGGTTCCAACTCAAACGTTACTTTAGTTGTATGAACAGTGTAATGACAACATAAAGAGCAGAAAGCAGGGAGGAACACTTTTTTAATTTTTACAATATCAATCTTTACTATGAAATAGCTTCCTCCCATTGATATGGTGTAAATACGGAGTGAGTGGGCTGGAGGGAGAATACGACCCCCAGGAGAGGTCATAACAGTTCACTTAAAGCTGGTTAGATTGTTCATATCTGGGGCCTAGCTGGAGATCTGGGGCAATCAACTACATCAGCCCGTTATATATGAAATAAAAGCTGAGGCCAGGCCCAGCCTCTCAGCAGGGGGGCAATAACACTCGTAAAGTGGGCAATAAAGGACTGATTGTCCTGCGGCCTGCTTTGGGAGATACGAAAAAATACCAGGGATGGGTTATGAGCTTTACCACAAAGTGAGTTCACGAGCAGTTACCCACCTCTGATGGTCAGGTAGGCAGAGGCCTCCACTTTACCCACACGGTTCTCTGCCAGACAGGTGAAGGTTCCCTGATCACTGACTGACGCTTTTTTAATCTTCAGCAGGAAATCCTCTTTTTCATATCCGATGTCATACCTGGCAACACAGAGGAAGAGTGACATTGAGTCAAGTGACATCTCAGATTGATTTCATAAAACTGGAAGATCAGAAACAATTTCATGTGGATTAAAATTCACATTTAATTTTTTTTTTCTTTTTTTTTTTTTTAAATCAAGGAAAGGCAATCAACAAACACTGAAATTGAATCAAGGTTGTGTAAACTTTTTTTCTGTGCTTTTATAAAGGTTGTGTCATTTTTGATAGAACGAAGACAGACTTTCTAAGGCAATTAAGACTCTCAGCTGCACAGACTGTGCTACGGAGGCAGAAAAAGGGGAGCAATTATGCTGAGATGAAGGCATGGCAAAATGAAAGGTGCTTTCAGCTGGAACCCTGACTGTTCCACTATTTCAATATTTATAAAGACGAGCCACCCACTGTGGTGTGGGCTGTGCACTATTCTATGCTATATGTGCGTGTATGAGAGTGCGTGTGTGTGTGTGTGTGTGTGTGTGTGTGTGTGTGTGTGTGTGTGTGTGTGAGTGTGTGTGTGTGTGTGTGTGTGTGTGTGTGTGTGTGTGTGTGTGTGTGTGTAGGAGAGAGCAGGCAAAAAGAAGGGGAGACGGAGACAGAGGGAGAGATAGACAAACACTCTGAGAGTAAGGGAGTGGCACAGTCTGACAAACTGAATTTGATGAATGAGCCAAGCAGTAAGAAATGACTTATTCATAGAGATGTTCCATGCATCAGTGTGTATCCACCAGTGCAGCATACTGTAATGCAGCAGTGGTGCAGTTAGAGTGAGAGGAACATCTCAGCTACCAGAGTTTAGATAAGTGCCTCAGAGGGGCTACAGACAGAATGAGTATAGGAGGAGCAAGGAGTCGGGCTCTCCCTCTCTGGGGTCCCCTTTGGTATGAGAGATCCTGTGAAATTGTCTAGCCAGCCATACTGATTCAGAGATGGGAGACAAGTCAGGCAGAGAAATGGCACAAGGGGTGAGAAAAAGTCACATCTGAAATAGATGTTCCAAAGGGTGTGGGCAGAATATCGACGGGGGTTGTGGGGTCTGTCCAGAGTCTGGTGAGGACTCCATTCACAGCACATCTCTGACCCAGATACAGACTTCCCAGGAGGCTGACGGGTTTCGAAAAGAATGAAAGAAGTGGAAGGAGGGAAGTGAGGCGAGGCAGGTCTGAAAGTAGGACATGTTTCTGGAGTCAAGGGCTACTGAGGTAGAGGGCACGACACAAGCAGGTAGACAGACAGACAGACAGACAGACAGACAGACAGACAGACACACAGTCACTATAATCTGCATCATAAACATTGACACATCTGAGAAGGTGTCATACTGCCTCCTTATAGCACTAATGGCTTGTCACAGGTGTTTGTTAAACTTGTAGCACACGTAAGATGAAAGATGACATTTCTCAGAAGAAACAGCTGAAGTCTAATGTGAGAGAGATGACTCACCAGCATCACACGTTCTCTATTTGCTTAAGTTTCATCTGTGTAGTCGACACACTTGATGTATTTGGATTACCTGCTAGCAGTTTTAATATCATAACAAAATAATTTCCAATAACGTCTATATATAAATAGTCAGTACAAATTTCCATCAGTCCAGAGCTAAAAATAAACTCATAAAACAGATGATATAACTGCCCTGATATTGTACCCAGTGCTGCACCGATAAATCAAGTTATGCATCTCGACCAGGTCTCTCACAAAGAGTCTGGCTCTGCACAGGTTTACGGGGGTTATTTGAAACATGTCATAGAATTGACACACATCAGTCCACAGACATAGGTAATTTCTCATGATGTGTGTGAAACAGAAAGAGCGCTTGTTTTGTATTAATGTCAAATTACCGTCGTATATTACGTGTCTCTTGGTCAGATCAGTTGGTACGCACCAAACTCAGTCACATGATTGGGTAACACTCCATGTACCGAAGGTTTGGATTCAACACCCGAGACACAAGGAATAAGCTACAGAACACTAAAGATATAAGTTTTATATTTATTTATAAGTTCTCCACATTTTAGAAACAAAACCTTCCCAAAACACAACTGTGAGACTGTTGGCTGTGTTCTATGATCTTGGCGTCTTGTATGTTTAAAATGTTCCTTGTGTGTTATTTCAATTGTACTGTAAATGGTTTTGGACTATCTGCTCATGAATTGATTTTATTCTGTTTTTTATGTACACTCAGGTCTCAGGTCTCTCACTGAAGATTAACAGAGTGAGATGAAACATTAAAAAGAAGCGCTGTTTAACCCTAAGAGAGAAATGAAAAGGTTTTAATGGATGGTCAGATTAGATAATGAGACATACTGTATTTAAAAGTATAACATGCTGAGAAGTGACTAGACTGTAACAACCCACATGACAGGATGATAACGACGGTTAGAAAGCAATTATCATATGCCTATTACATGGGTACACACAGCACCATAAACTGGCTTCAGAAATGATCACAGAACTGAATCATCGCCTTTCCCACTAACTGGACATCATGCATCACAGTTACTAATCCCTGCAGGGCTAATGTATTGGAGTGCTTTATATTAAACATGTGCTCCTGCTATGTGTCCATCTCTGGATACTTCAGTGTCTCAGTGCCTGCCGAGCTCTCCTTCACCATTTATCCAGCATCACTTTTACTGTATTAATATTCACACATGGACACAAACACACACACACACAGACGTATGCGCTGCTCACATTCCCACACATTCCTCACCTGCCGCGGGGAATCTCCACGTCCTCTTTCTTCCAGCGCAGTGTAGGCGGGGGGTCACCGTGGACCTGACACCTGAACTCCACGCTCTCATCAACTAAGACCACCTGGTTCACAGGCCGCTGCGCAAACACTGGTCGTTCTGGATGTGGGCAGTATACATAACACGGGTGCTAAATATACTTTCGACAGAGTGGTAAATGCTGTATGTGTTAGTGAGCAGTAAATAGGAAAAAAAAAGTCATGCCCTATTAGTTCTTGACACAGGCACATGGCAGACTTCTTACCAAACACTGAGAGCTGAGCTTTTTCACTCTCTCTCTCCCCGACCATGTTGGCCGCCACACACACATAAATCCCTGCATCGCTCTTCTTGGTATTGGAGATGGTCAGCTTCCCCCCACGTACCTGACCACACATGCATGTAATTAGAATCACCCAGTTCAATATGAAGGCCTTTACATTGTAAAAGTGAATCACTAAGTATGTGATTGAGAGTGAGGGTTGTGTTGAAGGCGGAGGAGTGGCCCCTGGGAGAGTAACCCACCGTGACCCTGTCATCTTTCAGGTCGAGACGAGCCTTATCTTTCCTCCAGAAGGTGGTGGGTTCAGGATGGCCGCGTGGAGGCTGACACTCCAGACTGGCAGCCTCCCCGACCGCCACCACTGCGTCCTGTGGGTTCTGTCTGAAGTCATCGCGTAACACTAAGAGACAAAAAAAAAAAGGGCGTTACTCCGACTGTAACAATGACTCATTCAGTTGATTAGTTTGAATTTTCTTTTAGTTTCAGCTGCTCAATTATGTGACCCAGAAAGTTGCACCCCAACTCAGCTGTCATGGGCTAACTGACCCCAACCATCTCTGTCTAATATGAGTCTAAAAGATCATTCTTGAAGTAGACTGCCTCGCAGGACCCTCAGCAATCTATCTGTCTTTAATAATACAGTTTTCCCCTTGAGGGTCGGGTACAGGCTCTCCTTTGATCTCTGCAGATAAACCTGAGAGTGTGTAAAGCCAGGTAGGATTAACAGGACAAGGTGCAGGGGAAAGAAACCTAGAAATATAAAGCAAAGTAAAACTGTAGAAGCAACACAAATAAGGAGGTTGAGAACAATAAGTGAAAGATCCTGCATTAAAAATTCAAGCAACACTAGATCTGTAAAGCCCTACTACAGGCTTCCTTCAGGCTACATCAGACAATGTGAAAGTGTTGGATAAAACAGATAACCTACTGAAGCTATACATCACTCCAGAACACACAGTGGTATCTGACACACACGGATCATCCTCTGGGGAGTATGAATGAGCTCATGCAGTAAGGTTAGAAGTATGAGTAGTAAAGTTTGTGCAACAGGGAAATTCAAAGGGTCCTCTGAGAAACTTTAACAGCCAAAGACAATTCTGGAACAGGATATTATAAATGCAATACAATATGTGAGAGAGAATAGACGCTGTATGAGTATCTGGATGAGATTGATGGTTGGAATATAAATGTTTGATGGTAATAAAAATGGATGTTATGGTTATGAATAATACTGGTTATTTCTATGTGGGGCGGTGAGGAAAAGCTGGTTATGATGGCTGAAAACATTTTAGTGCAAAGCTAAGATGTGGACCAAAGGCTACTTCAGCCCGAGCCGTCATTGTCTTTCTTCAAACTCATAAAATGCTGTGGTCGACTCTACAGCATCAAATGCTGCACTGTGGTCTCTGACTTCTACAAACATAGGGGGTGATACAGGTCCACGCGTTGTGAAGTTTTCAGAGCTATTATTCTGACTAATAAAACATGACAGTTTCACTGAGACTGAAACCCTGGATGAAAAATGGCAGTTCGATGATGGGCCTGAATTCTGTTGCAGTTACAGACCTTGGTTTCTGGACACGAGGTTGCACTTCAGAAAGGAGTGGTGACCGGTGATATTGACTGACTCAAACAATCTTTTATGAAGCTTTATTAAACAAGGGAAGATGTGCAAGGTCTCATTTAGCGTCATGGGGACAATGGTTTCAAAATGTCTTTATTAACAGCAGCAACATTCACTCTTAAACGTTATAGTGTCACTTTTGAAAAACATACACTGAAGGAGGGGCAACAACTATATAATACTAAAGAAATAGCACCAGTTAATGACAGCAGCTTGAAATATGATGGGTGAAATATGCAACAATAACATATTTTCCTATATATATTAGTTAGTTCCTTAGAATTTCATTTATAAGCGGCTTGTGTCTGTACTCTTCCGCTGTTGGACACTTTAATTTCTCCATGGCAGGGGAGTCTGTGCTTGAGTTTGTTTTCAAAGGAGAGAGAACATCAAGAATTTTCAAGCAATCCATGTAAAAGCCATACTCATGCATTTTGAGCAGACGTATGAGCTAGCTGCCGCTAAGTTAAAAGGTTACATCTTCAAAACCTCCTAATTCTGTCACAACTGTTATCCCAAATATCAATTCAAAAGCTCCTCTGCTTTAAGCAGCTACAGGAATGATTGTACTCTAAGCCATCACTGGAATTATGGTTAAAAATAGAGATTGTGATTTGGATGCAATGAGTTGTGTCCTCTTTGCATTAATAGCTTATGACATGCTGTTTTTGTGAAAAGCCTTACTCTAGGCCAGTTTTAAATAATAAAGTGTAATGTGTGACAACAGCCATGACTGTGAAAATAAAAGAAAGACTCAAAATTAAAAGTCTTTTTTTCTACTTGTGAATAAAAATGAGCTGCTAAGTGTCACTTCTAATCTCATGTGTTATGAATGACTAATTAATGAAAAACTGGAGCTAATTGTAATAGTTATATAATTATAATTCACTCTTTCTGTATTTAGCATTAGTTAAGATAATATCGAGGTCATTTTTGTTTTTTTCAGTCATTATGTTAACCAACCAACAGTTAAACCAACTACATGCTGCAATACTGACACTAAATGATAGTTTGTAAAACTCATAGCACAAAAAAATGAAATACCCTGGCTCTGTGTTCAGTTTGCTTTTCATTCTCATTACAGCCATAAGCTGTTCTGCTGATACACTGTAGCATGAAGTCCCAGAGGACACCTAGTGAAAAAGAAAATCAGGAAGGAGCCAAAGGCCCTTTGGCCCAGCTGTCAATCACATCCAGTCTGTGCTGGAGTAAATGAGTCTCAGTTGCAGAGACTACTTTGGCACAGACATATGCCTGGCTGGCTGTCACATGGTACTATACGCTTAGTGACCCATCCGAGTGAAGCCAACACTCCACTCATCCGGTCACACAACTACCTTCCTGTTCCTGTGTTGTCACATTAAAGACGCTCCCACAGCAGCAAAGCTTGTCTCACGAGACAGTGAAACCCAGACACACGCAGGGAAATCAGGAGCAAATTCAAGACATGAAGTGAAAACCCAATTACAGAAATGTAAAAGAAGAGAAAAACATTGTGTTTTATTTAATGGTGCTGATGGTTAGAACAAACAGGAGAGTTTATGTACTGTAACTGTGGCAGTAACTGCTGCCTGAAAACATAAAAATAACTACAGTATATGCTGTCTGTTACTGGTACTACTGAAAGTCATCAGGACCTCAACCATTTCTATTATATCTACATCATTTAAAAGCCACAGAATGCCTCTTTGCTGTCGTACATTTTATTTTCAATTTCAATTTCTGGGAAAATTAAATGTAGGGGCATGTTTTTATGATTTATGTTGTACATAATAAATTGTGTCTTATTGAATGGGAAGTGAATAACTTGTTACTGTATAAAAAATCTCTTGGTAATAGGCAGCTGCAAATTTAAAAGGCTAAGAGGGTGTGGTCTTTGCACAAATACATGCACACTGTTGGTACGGTGGCTGTGATTTATTCAGTCCTGACTGTATATGACAGCTATCCCACACCCCCAACTCTGGTGAGGTGCCCCCGTCCTCTCCTGTTCCCACTGTGAGGCCTCTGCAGGTTTCTTTAGGTGGTGTTTATGAGGGAATGCGAGACACGGGGTGGGGGTGGTGTTGCTCTAATCTATTGGTCTCAAATGTGGAGTCCCTGTGGAGGCAGCACCCATGTGTAGTCTGCTGTCATGTGGTAATTATTTTAGATGGCGGTGCCGCCACCATTGCCTAATGACGTCTGATTGAGTACCGCTCAATTATTCAAACAAGCCATTCAGGGGACTCACTCGTTCACCAGTTTCATTTATCAAATCAGAAGGAGAATGATTTGTAAATGGGCTTCATTTCATGACACAATGGGTGGTAAAAATATGTGACAAGGTGGAAGTATCTGAATACAAATAACTATTCAGGGACTCATTATAAGATTAACAGTTGAAGGGGGGGTTGTGTGGTTGTTGTAAATTTCAATATATTCCATTTTAGCATCCTGATTTCTTGAGACCCTCTTCAGCCACAGCAGCAACGTATGACTGAACTTCATTTCACAATTTTGTCACGATATCACATCCTTGAAGGTCCCACCTGAGCTCTTGATGCATGTTGCTCATCTCACAAGCTGAATATCACATCCATTTGGTTTAGAGCAGCTTGTTTGTTCCTATACAATAGGCGATGTTTATCAGTCAATGCATTTATTATAGTTAGTGTCTCGTGTATCCATTAAGCTTCTATACATTTACTGCAGTGTCTGTCTTTATGTTGAGTGTCAAAACACAGCAACATAAAGTAACAATGATTTGTGTTCTGTTTGTGTTTTAGTCATGTCGGTTTGTCGAGCAGTTGTACTGTGGCTTTAACAGTAGCATACCAATGAAATACCAGGATGCTAACGTGCTAAATGTAGCAGTTTAATGCTCGAATGTTAGATCAGTTGTTCACCTATGGGCATGCTAACACACCAAAGATAGTGGCATTGGTGCTCTGCTCAAACTACAGCTGAGAATAATGACTTTCACCTGGAGCTGACAAAGTGCAGCTCAGACTAATAAGTCTCACTGTGTAGCGCTGAGCCCGGCATGCTAGTATGACATTCCTCTAAAATGGCTTAAATTGTTTGCTCAGAGCCAAATTCGTCTCCCTATTATTCCTTACTCCAATTATTTGGCTGTCTTGTGACCTCAGGTAGGCCGCAGATTCTGCTGCACTATGTCCCATTGAGCGAGATACCAGTCACCCACAATGTCTGTGCTTCTTACCCATGCCAGGGGCACGGCTGGCACACAGGTGGCAATGTGTCTGTCTGTTGGTCAGATGGCTGGTCGGTCAGTCCACCACCACTAATCCAGACTGAAAATATCTGCAACCAATGGATCCATCGATATAATAATTTATACAGACTTCATGGTCCTGGGAGGGGGAGTCCTTTTTTGTTTTGTTTTGTTTTGTTTTGACATGTCTTGATAACTATTGGATGGACTTCCATCAAACACGATACTAATATCCATATGGTGGCCAGAGGATGAACCCTAATGACGTTGGTGAGCCCTTGTCCTCTGGTGCTTCCAGTAAGTTTTCACTTGTTCTGTGGATCATCTCAACATATGATGCACCGGCACAAAATCTGGTGCAGACATTCATGGTCACATTCTATTCATTCTAGCGCCACCTTGAGGCTGACAAGTGTAATGCAACCAAATGCTAGATGCTAAATCTGATTTGAAGGAGTTACATTTTCTAATCATTGTTGACCTATTAATTTAGCACTAATTGAGTCGGTTCAGGGCATTAATCAATTGAAAAAGACATTCATTCACTTCATAATAAAAC